TAACGCCCAATCTGGACGAATTCTACACAACTTCTACTTGATCGGTCGTGCCTCGGAATCAAGAGGCATCCGATGCTGTACAATCTTAGGATTGATTCCAGGCATGTCTTCATAGGACCACGTGAAAACATCTTTGAAATCTTTTAACAAAGCGACTAAGCACTCGCGCCCCTCTAAAGACAACTTGGACCCGATCTGGACTAGACGCGGATCCTTATTAGTACCCACATTAAAAGCAATGATTTCATCAGCACAGGGTTTAGCAAACCTCTCATTCTCTTGATTAATCAAGTTTTTCAAAACTAGCGGAATTCCTTCCTCTTTGTTTTCATTAAAATTTTGAAAATCTTGGTTAATACAATAAACCAGCGACATAGAGAAGTACACAAAATTCGCAGAGTTCTCATTCAAAAGGTCCTGATCTTCGGTTACAGACTTAAAAGAAAAGTTGAATGAAGACCAAGACAGGGCTTTAGTATCTAGATTATCACCCCCAGAAATACCAGACTCAGACTGAGAACTGGAATCTAATCCCAACTCTGCAGATTCAGCAGAATTAGATTCTAGCTCATCATCCGACTCAGAACTAGACAAATAGCCTTCCTCCAACTACAAGATAAGAGATGGTGCCTCTGATGCATTCAAAATGTTGCTGATTGGGTTCACACCCGGTTCTTCCCCAATCATGGAGATGGTAAGGTTATCCCCCAAGTTCTCTAAGTCAGCCGCAAGATCTGTCAGGAGACAAGCCAGTGCTGCCCCTACTCCAAGTTCACTGTTATCTGAGTCACTTTCCATGCTCTGTTTAACTTCAGTACTTGGTTCAGCCCTTTCTCCCTCATCATTGTTCTGCAGCTGGAGGTCAAAAAAGATCTCGAACCTTGGGACACGCTGATTCGAGGAATTCATCCAGGGCTCGGAAAAGCCGTAAAAGGGGAAATTTTCTCCCTCCCGAACAAAGTGGCCATTCAGCGTTCCCTGGATTGGCCTGTGGATGAGCTCATAGTGTTTCCCGGCTTGCTTGGCCCTAGCTCTGTCTCTAATTTCTTCTCCTTTCTTGATCCAGTCCTCTTTGGTGGCTACATAGCCCAGACCAAAGACTTATAGATTGTGCGGCACATCCGTTAGTGCAACGACACCTTTCTGGCCACTTCTTTCGAGTCCCATTCCTAGCACATGTTGCAATTTATTCATGAAATAGATAGACTGGGTGCTGACATACATGCCCTCATCAACGGCTTGGATGGCCTCTACTACCCGAGCTTCAGCAGAGTGAACCCTAAGGGGAATACATCCTCCTCGCCATGAGTGATCTCCAACACTGGTGTAGTTACCTCTGGCGGGGGATAGATGGATAAAATCCCAAAAACAATCGCCACTCATTTCCCATGAGGGTATTTCAATATTTGGTGGAGGGTGGAGGAGACAATTTTCACATAATGCAACTAGGGCCACCCTAACAATAAATTGAAGGCGGTCGGCATATTCAAGACATGGAACTCGACATCTTGCTGAACTAGGCCCACCTAGACTCTGATCTGCACCATGCCCATGACCTCCTTGCTCGTATTATCATATGCCCAAATTACTTAGGCTGTCGGCACAAAGTCTGTTGGTCTAAGGCCGATTGCATAAACTGTGCGGAAAGGACAAACATTGATGGCTGAACCAGTATCTATCAACACCACCGATACCCATTTCTCCCTGCACTCAATAGATATATACAAGGGTTTGTTATAAGTTGAGCGTTCTGGTGGAAGTTCTTTGTCAGAAAAGGTTAGGGTTGGCCCGACGCCAGTTGGAAAGACCAATCCCACAAGCTAGTGTCAATGGACAATTTAGCCTTGCCATTGCTGACAGTACTGCTTGTCAATGTACTCAGGAGGCAATGACAAGACCCCAAATTGAGATGTCAGCTTGGATTTTCCTAAGCTGCTTCAACACTACCTTTTCTTCTAGCTACTTCGCTTTCTGTTTCTCAACCTCTCTGTCTTTTCCAAATGCCTCAGCTTGATCTAAGTGCGGTGGCTTAAAATACCGCCCACTTCTTGTCATGTGATCTATTTCTTCAGCATACCATGTGTTGTTTAGAAAGCACTCACCCCAGTCTTCGTCGGTATGGGCTAGATGTAGATTGTCATCATCTCGCCATGCACCTTCAGTAGCCGACAAATAGTTGTCCGGCTCTGTTTGGATCACCTTCACATCACAAGTATACCCCATAGGGTGTTGGACCAGCACTACATTCTGGTTGTCTTCAACCCTCTTTTGTTTAAATTGCTTTAATGCAGCTTCCTGTTCTATGTCTGTAGTGCTCACAACGCCCAGTTCCAAATCTGAATTTTCCATGTCGACGTTCTCCATCAGTTTTCCCTTTTTATCGGCCCTTCCGGCCATTATAGTAATTCTTGCTTCCTTTTCCTCCAGTTTCATTTCAGTTCCTTCCTCTTTATCCAGCTCATCACTTAGCCACCTGGAGTTGTCCATTGATCCGTTCAAGTTGAACCAGCAAATCTGCACATCCTCTTGATCCTGCTTGTCAAAGAACTGCAGGTTGTCTAAATCCTTCTTGAGTTCTGCCAAATCATCCAACCCTTGGCTCAGGCCATCTACCTTAACCACATTAACCTCTACTACAGTTGGAAACACCAATTCTGGCTTGACTTGACTAGTCGGCATAACGTAGCAGCTTGGATCGTACACCTCCTTAGGCAAGTCCTCAGAGCTTTCTCACAACAGACTCATACTTTTCTCTAAGGCCAGCCTCCCTTCTACTACAACTATCACCACCACAAGCTTAGGTTGAAGTGCGGACATGTCTATCATGCACAAATTTATGCTTTTAGGAATGAACAACGTCGGTCTTCGTAGGTGGAAAGGGGTAATATATATGCTGGGGTTATAGGGGATGGCAAGTGTATTGATTAGGTTTAAATTTTGAGGTGGGGGAACTTGATTATGGACTGGGAGAGGGTTTGTAGTTACATTTGGTTTCTGGGGTGGTGCGATCACCTTGTTGTTGATGAGGCCTTGAATCTCATGACATAGTCGGAAGCATTGGTTAGTATCATGACCATGTTGTTGGTGAAATGCGTAGTATTTTGCTGGGTTATGTTTGGGTGGAAGATGATTAGGTAAGGGGCGGGGTTCTAATGGTTTGAGGTGCCCTTTTTTGACCGGCACCTTTATGGCTTGAGACAGGGTCATGTAGAGTTGGGTAAAGGTCCTCTGGGATCAGTTAGGGTTGGCTGAAGTTTGTGGACCTGTATTGGCAAATGGATTGGCAGTCTTGGTTGTGGGGGTGACAACGCTCACATCTGGCCTGATAGCTATGATACCACTGGTGGTAGTATTGGAACTACGCACAAAAGGCCTTTTTGCTTGCACTTTCTCATCAGTAATCAGCCCTTGTTTCATGGCGTCTTCAATCTGCACTCCCATCCTATAGAGTCGGCATACCTGTTCTCTATATCCAGGACGGAGTTAACACCTTGTGCTCTTTTGAATAGTTTCTCTAATTTATTGAATTTGAGCACAGTCGGGTCCGCCTCAAACTCGAATGGAGCCTTAGTTTGATACATAGGTGCTTTGGAGGCTTGTGCTGGGATCGGGTTTGCCGAATTGCCCTGATTTTCTTGGAAATTAATAGTATGGGCAGTGGCTCCAGGTGCTGGGATACCCGTGGGAGGTGCATGGGATGTAGAGGCCACTGCTGGCTGTGGTTGTTGTTATTGATGCCTGTTTATTACCTCAGCCTGATGGGCTGTGACCTCGGCCTGACGGGCAGCTTCTTGTTATAGGGTTTCAACTATTTGCTAAAGATGATGTATCAATTCCTCCATACTGACTAGGGGATACTGTGTCATCGGAATAGACGAGTAATCTCGTGCTGGACTACAAGTAGAAGACTGTCCCTAAACCTGACTGGATACAGATGAATTGAGGGGTGACTGCTGTAAAAACTGGAACGAAGAACTTTGCCTGACTCTCCTCCGTCTTGTAACCGGTGGGAGTGAAGTAAACACAAGCTGTCCTCAAACAAGATCCTCGTCTTTGCAAAGCTTTCTTACTCTGGTCCAGAGTACTTGGGGGATATCCGAACTTTCTGAAGCTATGGTGTTAAACTACCTAACAAAAAGAAATAAAGCAAAAAGAAAGCAGTAATCAGAAACCACACAGCACCTCAGCTAATGATGCTACCAACACAGATGTAATCAAAGCTGTAAGACTACATTCAACACTGAATTATGCCCCCAAAACAGATACCAAACTTGCAATTGATACGCACATTCCTATATAGCTTCATTGTAAAGCACATACCAATTAAGTGAGACCTAAAACACCCCTATAAGGGGGTATGGTTACACTGTCCTAGTTTTGTCATAAACTAAGGTTCACTATTCAAATAAAGCGGTTTCACGCAATCCTATATTCGGGTGAGCATTCTGTCCTAGTTTGGAACAGTCTTTATAGCTTTTCGATATGCAACTATGTCGAATGGTCAGAAGGGTACCTTAGCAAGACTACCTAATAAACCTCTTACACCTAACACCGAGAAGTGAAAGGAGGATCAAACGGTACAACGGTAGTCCAGATCCAAGGGTTGTGTTCCCATCATGGCAGAGCCCGTGATCGGTTAGCCTTTTGGCAAGCTTTTCATGCAACCCTCTGGTAAACTGTCCGGGAATAGCAGATGGCAAACACAGTGACTTAAACGCACCAATGCAAATGCAATGCAATGCAAAGAAACATATGAGTGTAGATAAAATTTCATATCATTAATTTTGAGTCAAGTTCTCTAAGTCCCTAACAGTGTCACCAAAAACTGTAGCTCGTCTTTTTCGTGCCCCATTTCAGAAGACGAATAAGCCTTATAGTATCTGTCACGACCCAAACCAGCCCCTATAGATTTAGCGTTGTAACCGGCCAGCAATCCTAGATTACCTTCAGCCTTAGAGATAAAATTTCAAATTATTTAAATTATATTGGGGCCTAAAGCGGAAGTGAAACAAAATAATAATATCCTTTGAGTTTGTGCATACATGACCTAAATAATTAAAACATTTAAACACAATAATAATTTATATACATATACAAATCCTATATATATCTCACACACATATACATTAAGACATAGCAAAATCCAAAGCTTTGACAAAGTTAAGGGGTTGATTTTCTTGGCCCTACTCGAGCCTAACTTGCTCTATTCTGGAAGCTCTTCAAAAAGCTGACATGGGTAGACTCCAAGACTTTCTCTATCCTTGTTGCTTAGTTTGCTCACCTACATATACATATATATAGTGAGTTAAAGCCCAGTGAGTAGTAACAAAATAAAGAGGTTAAATGAATGTAGTTTGACAACATAGTAGAAAAACATGTCCTACAATTTTGAAATGAATCTTAAATCATTTTCAAAATAAGGCATTTTCCATATTATATCAAATTTATAACAAAACATTTTCCATATCAAATCCCTTATCAAAACATATGTTTCATTTCCTGAAACAATCCATTTCATATAGGCAAATCAATTCAATTAGCTATCATATCAATCCTTTGCAATAATAAAACCATTGTTCGATAGCATTTTCAATACAATTTCGATTTCAATTCAATTCTCAATGATCCAAGTTATCCCAATAGCAATACTCATTCAATGATAATTTACGTGGTACATCCAATAAAGTAACAATATTTCAATAACAATGGGCCACGAAGGGTCAAACACTAGAGATCTTTGTGTGCTTCAAGCAAGTCAATGGCCTTGGTATTAATCTTCCCTAGGCAAGGGTCAATGGCCTTGGTATTAATCTGCCCCAAGCAAGGGTCAATGGCCTTGGTATTAATCTCCCCCAGGCAAGGGTCAATGGCCTTTGTATTAATCTCCCCCAGGCAAGGGTCTTACTAAAGGATGCCACAAATACATTTCGAAAGTGAACTTCATTCATCATTACAAAATAACTTTTTAATAAACCATTCAATCAATCGCCTTGGTATTAATCTCTCCCAGGAAAGGGTGTCACTAAAGGATGCCACGAATACATTTCAAAAGTGAACTTCATTCATCATTACAAAATAACTTTTCAATAAACCATTCAATCAATCACATAACGATTTTGAAAATAGTAATCATTCGAAAATAAATATAATTTGAATATATCTTTATAAAGTTACTGCTCACAATAGGTTAAGTCAATATAAGGCCTGGGACGTCCACCTAAACAAATCACACAACAAAGATACAATAGAAGCACCATTCAATATTTATCTCATTTTAATTCAACTCTCTTTATGTGTTTCTACCTTATTCCATGACTATATGAGCTCAATTGGTGCCTAAAAATACTTAGAATGTCATGAGGATGCAAATAGGCACTTAAAAGAGTTAGTCAAAAATTGCTAAAAATAGGATCTCCGCTCAAGCGCACCTTTGGTCGCTCGAGCGATCTGCAAAACTCTGTAAAAATACTGGTTAGCCTTAATGTTCGCTCGAGCGGTGACTTTAACGCTCGAGTGGCTAACAAATTTTTTGTTCTTTCAAAACTAACAAAATAATTTCCAAACGCATTTTCAAAACTTAAACTCTTGCATGAACCAATTTAAACATGTAATTTTATTAATAAAGATGAACCTGTGACTAATTCTCCAATTTCTAATACAAAAATCTCTTTGATCATTAAGATTAAAACCAATAATTTCATGAATATAATAATCCCAACATTCATCGTTCTTTGTTTTATAAAACATAAATTAAAGCTATAAAGCCCTTTAAAAAATATTTACATGTAAGAAATTTAAATCAAAATCAAACTTATTTTTAATTCTCAAATATAAATTATTAATTATTCCCAAATTGCCCAAATTTAAATTTAATTCATTTTCTTTATATCAAGCCCACAAATTTTTAAAATGTGAATTAAACTTTCAAAATTCTTGAAAACTTCATGATGTATGTAAAAATAGAACCCAATTTCATTATTAATAGAAAAAATCAAACTTAATTATGAATTACACAAATTAATTTCTTAGAAATTCAAATTAACTCAATTTTTAATCAAAAACTTAATTTATGATCATAGATGTTCCAAAATGTGTTTAAATTGAATAAAACTTTTAAATTCAATAACATGCATGGATTAAACAAATTCCTAGTTTTCATAATAAAACCAAAACTTCCTTTAATTCCAAAATCAACTCTCAAATTTCATGAACTCATGATTTTTAGAACTTTTTCTTCAAAGTCATTTATATACTCCACTGCATGGTTCCAATCTTCAAACATTTCTTGTTGCATGTAATTTATAGAACTCAATTTAAGAATGATTCTCAAAATTAAACCCAAATTCAAATCCATAAGCTTTTTAAACATGAATTAAAATCTCAAAACCTTGAAATTCTATAATGCATGTTTAATTAAAGTATTAATCTTGTGGAGTTTGCCCAGGCATGTAACAATGAGGCTTAATTTCATGCAAGATCACAACATCAAACCCAAAATAATTAATTTCCATAACCATGAACCTAACTTAATCTCTTCATCTTTGTTTTCTAATTTCTTCCAAATTATATGAAATTCAATTCAAACTCATCATTAATTTCAAGTGTAATACATGAATTCTTCAAAAATCAAGATTGAAATCTCTACCTTTAATCTTCAATTGATAGCTTCTTGATGATCTTGCATTTTCCTTTCTTCAATTTTCTTCAAACCCACCAGCGCAAAGCTTTCTCTCTCTCTTTGACTCATGGTTTTACCCAGCACAAAGAGAGGAAGAAGTTGCCTACTCTCTTTCCTTATGTTCACACTTATACACATACACACATAGCTTTCTCTGCACACATAGATTTCTCTGCACACCCATCTCCAAATACACCCTCAATTCTAGATTATTCTACAATTTAATGATGATCAAAATTAATTTAATTAAGCAACCCTTAGTCTTAATAAATCTTGATTAACACATAATTAAATCAATCATGACTAATCACAAATCCCACTTAATTTAATTAGTCTAATTTGACTTCTTTTGTAGCCCAATTAATCATATTTAAATTTATCAATCTGAATCAAATTTTTAATCAAACTCTCAAAAGGCTCCGAATATTAAATTAAACTTATTGTCATCATTAATTTTGATTTCCCAAATCATTTAGACCTTCAATTTCTGATCAAACTCCAATTTGCCGTCAATAATTTACATATTCAAATTGGACACCCCATAAATAAATTTAATTCGTAATAATCACAATTCTCAATCCTCATAATTTAATTAACTTCAATTCGGACCTAATTAATCGAATCTCAATTTTACTAAACTGAATCGAATATTTAATTAAACCCCCAAATGGCTCCGTAATTAAATTAATTCAACTTCTTAATTTCACTTCCTTAAGCCATTTGGACCCTTAATTCTGAATTTTCAAAATAATCTTTAATAGAATCATATAGGAATCAGATTTCACAATTCTCATAAATCTCAAATTAAATTAGGATAACAACTAATTAAAATCCCAAATCTTCTTAATTAACCAAATATAAACTATTATATGTGGCGGGGTCGTCACAGTATGGGACTCCCGCTGTTCTGAATCTAATCTCACAAGTGCAACGTGAAATAGATAAACACCAAAGAGTCCAAATTCGGCAAATCTTTTGGAAAATCAATTTTGAATCAAATTGCCAAAAATGGACTACTTTGCCAGATAAAGAGTTGCCACCTATTTTTTTTTTTTTTTTTTTTGAAAAATTTAGGAAACCCATGACTCATGCCAAAGGCCACGTGTCCGTCATCATCAAGATTGTCTTAGCTCGAAAACTTAGGTATGAGAAGGGAAGGTCATGAATTGAGCACCCCCACTCGCTAGATCAAAGATCGGTCTCAACTAATCATGATATGAATCTTATCTACATTATATGCTCTTGTTTCGACTATTACCTAACATTACTATGTGGTGAGCACACATACAAGTATAGACTAAACCTGCAAGAATTAGAACACTTGATTTCATGTTTTGTTTTGAAAATTGTTTCGAATATGTATCACTTGAAAAAGTGATCGCATATGAACATTTACTCAAATATGACTGTATTAGGCTAAAACAAAATGCAGATTGTGAACAATTAAGAAGATGAACTAGGATTCTACATAAATTAGAATCACGAAACTCTATTTTTTATAGTAACATAGTCTTCTGTCTATTCATTTTTCCTTTTATTTGATTTCTTTGTCGTATTTTTTTTTTAATTTCAAAAACTCTACTTTCTTACCTTTTCATCCTAATTTTTACCATAAAGATATATATATATATATATATACATATATAGTATTATATAACTCTCATGTGCTTATCACGTAAGACAAAGTGTATTGGTGGAAAACATGGATAATTTTTCTCTCTTATCCTCATTTCGTAGTCACATTTTTTGTCACATGATTAGATTTTGTTAAAGATTTAAAAATGAAGTATCAAAAGAGGGATATTGACATTTGTATAGGGACCAAAGTGGTATTTGACTAGAAGTGCATGAGGTTAATTGTCATGATTTCATGTGTAAGGGCTATAGTGAGATTTGGTGCAAAGTGCAGGGTACACAGTGCAATTTACTGTGACATGAATTAAGGAGAATAGCAACGTGATGGAATCTTGGTTCGAAAGAGGAGTAGTGGAGCATGCATGATTTGAGGTGGCAAATGTGGCTCTGTCGAGGATGTGGCAAACGTGGCTATATTGGAGGAGAATTTGTCTTGCACTTCTTGACGAAAGAAGCTTTGGTGTTGATTATAAATAAATAAAGAGATGCAAGCAAAATTGCCTAGCAATGCTTGCCGAAAGAAGCTCTGTGAGTTACTGTTCAAAAGGTCATAAGTTTTACTCAATAAATTATTCAAAAGTTTAGATTATTTTGAAGAGATCTAATGGCTATCAATTCGGGTGTACGAGTATCTCCAATCATTCATCCTTTCTTTCATTAAATTTAAATTGAATGAAAAATAAAAAAAATTATTTAATCTTTTCATCAAATGTTCTTCGTGAATTATTATTATTATTTTTTTAATCAAATTGAGAACTATCAAATCTTTCATCAAATTTAAATTTAATAAAAATTTAAGAAGATAAAGCATTGGAGATTTAAAAAAAAAATCATCAAATTTGGAAAAAAAAAAGAAAAAGAAAATTTGGGATATGATGGGAACTTTGAAGTCAAATTTAAATTCTCCCAACGGCTTTCTGTTCGACAGTCAAATTTCAAAAAAAAAAAAAAAAAAAAAGGGGGAAAAATTCAAAAGGTCAAATGACCATTTAACACCAAACAACCAAATTATTCTTTATTATTACAAATTAACCCCTCCTCCCAAACTCTTATAAATAACCCCTCATCTCCTATTTTATTTCTCACAAACAATTCTCTCTCTTATACTCTCAACTCACTTAACTTTCTCAATTAATTTTGAAGTCTCGTACCTAAGTGACAATTGCAATTGTGCAAGAAGAAATTTTTATCAAAAGAAGCTAATTTTTTGTATCGCATTCGCCAGTCGGTAATATTAATTATTTGAACTAAATTTATTATGGGTAACGCATCAATAAATTCCAAAATGTGATATTATAAACTTTTTAGTCTTCAAATTTTTTTTATGAACCCAAAAGTCTCATTAAAGTGGAAATTACACAAAATGATAGTTACTTACATGTTTGGATTTAATTTTTTAGGGATAATGTCATGCCCCAAATTTGATTACTCGGAAACATTATCAAAACCTTGGAGTTAAGTCCATTTATTCAATACATGTATAACTACAAATAACTATTACACTTGAGTAATAGAAATATTGTTCTCTCTCGAATGAGTATAATAATAATACATGTCCAGCTTCCATTGAAGCACTACAATAAATAATTACATGAGTCCAAATCATAATGTACATTTCCTTTACACACTAGACAAATATACACACAAAAGACCAATAAAGTTCTTGAAACTCCAACCGATGTTTCTGTGTTCTTTCCTGAAAAATGGTAAAATAACAAGGGATGAACAAATATGTCCAGTAGGAATCTTCAATGATTCACAACACTAAAGGCGTATTTGATTGGACGGACTGGATAAGGAGGATTAGAATTCATCGGACTTGAATTCTGACACTGTGAATCTCCCAGACTATTTGGTTGGATTGGATGAGTATCCTGTGTTTGTTTCTTCATGGGATTAGATGTCTAGAAATGACTATTTTTAGTGAATCCAATGTTTGGTTGGACGGACTAGATAAGGATAAATGTTCAAAAGACTATTTTATCCTTGTAATTTATAATTTATATTTTTTATTTAATATATAATTTTAAATTTGTAATCTATAATTTATAATTTATAATTTGACAACACTAAAAATTTTAATTTATAAGGCCATAATTTATAATTTATTATTTTTAATTAAATTTAATTTATAATTTATAATTTATAACTTATATTTTTATTTAATATATAATTTGTAACGCCCTCAAAATAAGACATTCATTGACATATGAAATAACCACCTTCTTCTATTTATCAAAGTTCCATTACAAAAGTATTACATGTTAACAACAAAAGCAAATTGCCCTACGGGCTTACAGTTTTCCAAGTTAACACTTGGTTACAACAAAAGAGTACTAATTCATTTACATATTTAGCCCTTGGCTTGAATTTACAGGTAATACATCAAAAACAAAATGACAAAAGCATGTCCGCCTCTAGCCTCCCAAGCTATGTCCTTGGAGGTGGCATGCTACCTGTACCTGAAAATGATATTCCCATATAGGGTGAGCCACAGCCCAGTAGAAATATACTAAACCAACCATGAACAATGACTAAAAGATTAGCAATTGATAGATGGCCAACACCGATACATTCACATAAATCACATATTTATGTCATACGACTTATGAGTCCAAGTTACTTTTCATTTTCCCTTTTTCAACAGATAAGCATGTTAGCTCTATGATTATCTCAACAGATATGTATAAAAACTATATCCCACATTCACAGATAAGCATATAAGCTATATCCACATTTCCAACAGATATGTATAACGACAATATCCCATATTCACAGATAAGCATATAAGCTGTATCCACACTTCACAAAGATAAGCATATGAGCTCTATCTTCACTTCTCTAGACAAGCATATGAGCTGTATCTACGGAGTTCATCCCCTATCTTCTCCCAACACTATCCGGTTTAGAGGTACATCCCCCATCTTCCCCTAAACCATTAACCGGTTTAGAGGTACATCCCCCATCTTCCCCTAAACCATTAACCGGTTTAGAGGTACATCCCCCATCTTCCCCTAAACCATTAACCGGTTTAGAGGTACATCCCCCATCTTCCCCTAAACCATTAACCGGTTTAGAGGTACATCCCCCATCTTCCCCTAAACCATTAACCGGTTTAGAGGTACATCCCCCATCTTCCCCTAAACCATTAACCGGTTTAGAGGTACATCCCCCATCTTCCCCTAAACCATTAACCGGTTTAGAGGTACATCCCCCATCTTCCCCTAAACCATTAACCGGTTTAGAGGTACATATTTCAATTCGGTGAGTGATAAATAATTCAACTACACCCTTTAACCCCATACATTCCCAATCTCGACAATTCCATTTCATTTCCTCATTTTCCACAATTAATTATCCCAATTAATCAAATAATGTAATTAGGTCATTTTCCATAATTACCATCTCAACCCTTAGGTCCCATTTTCATCAATGATTCAACATTTATTCCATTTCTCTATACC